TTATACACCAGACTTCCAGGTTATGTGTGTCACAGAAGTGCAATTCTCCCTAAATTTGTAATTCTCTTTTCTTTGGCCACAGCTCTTCCAACAGAGCTTCCCAGCAGTGTCATGAATTTTCTTTTAAACATTATGTTCTAGTTGTGTGCCTAACACTGACAAATTCGTCTTTAACAAGAGTCTTCCTTACTGCTGCACCAGCCTGTCACCACTTCCTCTAAATGCAGGGTGGTTCTGAGTGAGTGACCTTTCAGAGACATTCCTCCTTGGTGTCTGGGCGTGACCTCGCAATCTAGCCAAATAAGTTTGAGAGAGTCCAGCAAACTCTTTGGGCTGAATGAGGCTGATTTCATCTTTTTGCTTCAGTCACAATCATCTAATTATTAAGACTCTTGGTCATCTTAAGGAAAAATTGAATTTACTCAACATGTTTGTACAATGTAGCCTAGTTCTATGGCAACAGAAAATAGATCACTGAAAGAACAAATTTTTTAGTGGAAGCATCATGGTAAGTATGTGACTAAGAAAGGTCTCTATTCAAATTATACCTCACATCTGGTCAATTACTTGAAAAAATACCTAAAATATTTTTGAACCAGCTCTCTAAAAATGCTCAAAACTTTTAAATTGCTTGTGGACATAATATTTTGTGCAGCTTTTTTTTTACATTGTCAACACAGCAAAATGCTATAAGAATTATTAGGGACTGATTATTTAACAAAGTCATCACTAAGTTTTTTCTTTATATAATTTTTTATAGAGAATTTTTAATATGTCTAATCACTTTAAAGGGAATGACAGAAAGGAAGGGATAAGAAGGTAAGACACGATTAAGACTTTAACAAATAATTGGAAAGATAAGACTAATACACACAACACAATTATGCAGTGATAAACATCAATATGTAATCAAATGCTAGATTGCACAGTAGCCAGAGTTAGAAAGGATGCAGAGAAATAAACAAGTCAAAACATTATTTCTGAGGAGGTAAACTGGTAAAATCTTGTTTTTTAGAAAATTAAGAATACCTATTAAATTTCCTATCATGATTTTCCTTTTCCAAAATGTAGATATAAAATCTGGATATAAGTTTTACAACCAGGGCTACTTTTTGTTTTTAATTTTTTCATGGAAAATTTTAAACACATACAAAAATAGGAAAATGTATCTTCATGCACACATCACCAAGCCACACAACAGTTTTATTTTCTTGGGATGGTCTTCCTCTAGAGATAGTCAGAAGGCTCACTTCCTCACACCTTTCAGAATTTAACTCAAATCACCTCACAGAGGACTTCTATGACCATCTACTTAAAACTGCACCCCCAAAACTCCCTCTACAGTTTCCCTTTCTTATTTCTCACCATAACATTTACTACCTTCTAATATAGACTTTTAAAAAATATTTTTGGGGGCCAGCCCAGTGGCACAGTGGTTAAGTTCGCACGTTCTGCTTCTCGGCGGCCCTGGGGTTCACCGGCTCGAATCCTGGGTGTGGACATGGCACTGCTTGGCACACCACGCTGTGGTAGGCGTCCCACATACAAAGTAGAGGAAGATGGGCACAGATGTTAGCTCAGCGCCAGTCTTCCTCAAAAAACATATAAATAAATAAAAATTAAAAAATATATATTTTATTTCTTATGTGTTCACAATCCAATAAAGTACATGAAGGCAGGGATTTTCAAATGTTTTCTTCATTGGCATATCCCAGTACCTAAAACAATGCCTGACACACAGAAGGGCTTAATAAATAATGAATGAACAAATGACTATGTATTGATGAGGGGAGATGTCTATGATATAAGAAGTTTAAAAAAACAGAAAAATTGCAACACAGCTTGGATAATACGATGCCATGCTGGGGAAAAAAGAAAAGTGGATTGTGACAGAGGGAGTAGCACTCATCAAATATTCTTCACTCCACACTCCACATTTCCCAGCTGACTTGCAGTTGGGTAGGGCTATGGTTACCAGCTACGGCCAATAAATTGTAACTGGAAGTGGAATATGTCAATTATGGGCTGAGACAGTAAAAAGTCCATGTGTGATTTTATAGTCTCAATGGAGAAAGGACAGTCTTACCAATAAATGGTGTTGGGAAAACTGGACCACCACATGCAAAAGAATCACACTGGAATACTATCTTACACCATACACAAAAATCAGCTCAAACTGGATTAAGACTTGCGTGTAAGACCTGAAACCATACACCTCCTAGAAGAAGACATAAGGGATAAGCTCTTTGACACTAGTCTTGGCAATGATTTTTTGGATTTGACACCAAAAGCAAAGGCAGAAAGCAAAAAATAAACAAGTGAAACTACATCAGACTAAAAAGCTTTTGCACAGCAAAGGGAATCATTAACAAAATGAAGAGTCAATCTACTGAATGAGAGAAAATATTTGCAAATCATTTTATCTGATAAGAGGCTAATATCCAATATTTATAAAGAACTCATAGAACTCAAAAGTCAAACAACAAAAAATCCAATTTAAAAATGGGCAGAGGAGCTGAATAGAGATTTTTCCGAAGAATATACACAGATGGCCAACAGGTACATGAAAAGATGCTCCACATCATTAATCATCAGGGAATGCAAATCAAAACAATGAGATACCACCTCACACCTGTTAGAATGGATATTATCAAAAAGACTAGAAACAACAAGTGTGGATGAGGATGTGGAGAAAATGGAACCCTTGTTCACTGTTGGTGGGAATGTAAATTGGTGCAGCCACTATGGAAACAGTATGGAGGTTCCTCAAAAAATTAAAAATAGAAATGCGATATGATCCAGCAATTCCACTTCTGGGTATTTATCCAAAGGAACTGAAATTACTATCTTGAAAAGATATACGCACCCCTATGTTCACAGTAGCATCATTTACTATAGCCAAGACATGGAAACAACCTAAGCGCCCATCAACTGATGAGTGGATAAAGAAATTTTGGTGTATACGCATACACAGTGGAATATTATTCAGCCACAAAAAGGAAGGAAATCCTGCCATTTGTGACAACATGGATGGAACTTCAGGGCATTATGCTATGGGAAATAAGTCAGACAGAGAAATACAAACCAAATTCATAGATACAGAGAATAAAGTGGTGGTCAAAAGGTACAAACTTCCAGTTATAAAACAAATAAGTTGAATGGAAGTAATGCATAGCACGGTGACCGCAGTTAACAATACTGTATTATATATTTGAAAGTTGCTAAGAGAGTAAATCTTAAAATTTCTCATCACAGGAAAAAAACAAATTTGTAACTATATGTGTTGATGGATGTTAAAACTAACCTTATTGTGTGATCATTTTGCAATATATACATATATCAAATCCTGATGTTACGGACCTACAACTAATACAATGTTATACGTCAATTATATCTCAATTTAAAAAAAAGAATCCATAAAATAAATAAAAATCACTGAGGACACACCAATGATTCCATTAAACTTGAAGTTGAGACTGTCACCTGCCTATCTGGGGCTCCTCACGGCAAGTAAGCCAACAGGCAGAGAAGGAGCTCACTGTGCTGGCCGGAGTGACCAAATGTGACTATTCAGGAGACACTGGGTTCCAAGGGCACAAACTGGGTAAGGAGGAATACGTCTGGAATGCAGGAGAACTTTGGGGTACCCCTTAGAACTCCTGTGTTCTGTCATAATTTTATAATTGATTGTTTCTCTCTTTGCTAAATTACAAAATTCACAGGATTTCTGTTGCTTGGGAGAAACTCACTGAAAACATAGCGCCAGAAGTGTAATATAAGAAAACAAGGCTAATGTTTCTTAAGATTAGTGGTGTTTATTTTTATGTCTCACATATTCTTTTGTATGTATAAGGGTAAAAACAAGGATGGATAGAGAGATGTGGATGCCATCAGCTGCACTGATGTTTGAAGTTGTAAGAATGCAAAAATCAGTAAGAGAGTTAACTGAAATTTAAATCTCACAAATGAGCAGAAAATACAATTTCTGGCAGACTATGTTCGGCATTAATTCTTTGCACAATATTGGTTAAGAATAAAATACTTGGCAATTTCAACAAGCTGAAATTTATGGTATAAGGCAAGGAAGGGGAGCTATCAGCCATGACTTTGGCAAATTACTTAACATCTCTGAACCCGTTTCCTAATCTGTAAAACGGGGACACGTGCTCCTCAGGGAAGTCGCTTTGGAAATGGGAGCTCAGAGAAATGTCACTTTTCTTCTCCTAATCCAGGTTTCCCAACCTCAGCAGGGCCGACATTTCAGGCCAGGGAATTCCCTGTTGTGGGCGCTGCCCTGCGTATTTTAAGCCGTGGAGCAGCGTACCTGGTCTCTGCCCACCCCGCCCTCCATCCCCCGGAGAGAGGCCACTAACACCTCTGCCCAGACGCTGTCAACCGTGTCCTGGGGGACCCGCGTCCTGACGCCGCGCTCCACCCAAAAGGGTCTGAGAAGTAAGAAAAGAGTCTCCACGGAGGAGACGGCAGCGGCCCGCCTCCTGGAGGTGACTCAGAACGCCGGAGAAGAGACGCTTCCAGCTGGCAGGGAGGAGCCGAGTCCTCAGGACTGGACTGACCGTGAAGGGAAGGGGCAAGCGAGGGCAGGAGGCCGAGCCTTCGGTCTCTGAGAATCAGAGGCCCACACTGGTCACCTCTTGCAGTGGTTAGCTCACTAACAAGGAGATTTCGTTCCAGAGCGGCCGAGACACCGACGCCGCGAAGGCCGCACGAGGCCAGCTCAAAGACACACCAGGCACCGACGCGGCGAGAAGCTCGCCGGCCGTCTTCGCCGCCGCCCGCGCGCAGGCGCTCCGCAGGCCCCGCCCCTCGCCCCCCCCCCCCCCCCCCCCCCCCCCCCGGGGCGCCTCCGCCTCTGGCCGCCGGCGTGGGCCCTTCGTCAGCGAGACGGGGCGTGGTGGGGGCGTTGGCGGTGCCACGTCTTGGCGGCGGCGACTGTGGCGCGGGAGGTGGGGCTGGCCGGCAAGCCGGATCCGGATCCGGTATTGTGTCCCGGGTGCTTGAGAGTCCGACGGACTTGGAGCGCTGCGCCCACCGCAGGGCCTCTACGGGAGAGGGGCGCGAGCCGGGCCGGGGGGGCCCTGAGTGCCGTCGGCCTCCCTTCCGGTCGTCCAGCAGGTTTGCCTCTGCCCCGGGCATGGCGGGTGGGCCGGGGGCCGTTCGGGGAGCTGGGCTTTCCTCTTGGCCCGGTGGGGCATGTGGGGTGGCGGCGTTCGGAGCGACCGCGGCGGACGCGCGTCTGGGGCGGAGGTTGGGGACGAGGCCTGTGGTCCAGCCGTGCAGGGCCCGGGACCGACTCTGCTCGCCAGGCTTCGGCTGGGAGCCGAGACCGTTGCTCCGGTCTCCACCGCCCTGGCTTCTGAGGTGCGAACGCCGGGCCCCCTTCCCGGTTCCCTCCCGAGGCGCGCCCACGGCGGCCCGGAGCCGCTGGAGGACCGGCGCCTGCGCTGACCAAATCGGGGCTTTCGCTGCGGGGAAGAGGGACGTCCTTTGTTTCCTTCCCGGGGCTTCTATCCCTAGGCACAGGTTTCTGTTACAGGAGCTGTTGAGGTAACCGAATTTAAAATTCCATACAGAATTGAACGGGCGATTATGGGATTAGTTTTTCTTCTGGATTTTCTGAAATGTGACCTCCAGATAAATCGTATACTATTTGTTATTCATTCACTAGACATTTATTGGGCTAAGGCTGGAGAGATACGAACCCAGGAAAACTTCTTGAGAAATATTTAAGGAGGGTTGGGGTTTACTAAAATCCTTAAAATAGGACCCCAATGACAATGAGGAGGTTCAGCTTCAAACTGCAATTCTGTTTGCTGAAATTTCCTAGTTTTGCAGTACCTGGGACATCTTAAGGTGCTGAAAAGTACTATTTCCTTGGTAAACGACATAAGTTTACCTACTTCGTTGTTTTCTAAAATCTTTTGAAGTTTGGTATGAAATCACCTTAACTTGCCCTGCAGATTAATTGTGCACCACCAGAATTTTACTGGATGGGGACAGAGTGAGATAAAGGAAGCAACCTTAAGTATGGCTCTGTTTTGTAAAATAGCTCATAAAAAACATTTTGATATTAATCTCTGAGTACCTGGTTAATGCATTCCTGTTTCTATCCAGAATGCTTTAATGTATTTGACTAGCCTGAAATTCTTTTCCAAATAGAGGTTACAAGCGCTGCCTTGATTAAGTTTTAACTCTTGTACAATAAAGCAGGAATTCATCTTCACTAGCACATCTTCAGTACTAGGAGTACAGTCTGGAGTCCTGCAGGAGTGGCTACATAACTTGTCATAACCCGGGCATGAAAATGTAGGGCTCTTTGTTAAAAAAAATTAAGAATTTCAAGGCAGTGTCAGCAGAGAATTAAACCAAGTGTGGGTCTCTGTGCAACTGTACAGGTCCAGTGCTTATGAAGCTGGCCCTGTTGCCTGGTTTTGAATCCTCACTCTGTTCCTTATTGGCTCTGTTATCTTAAGCAGTTACTGCCTGTTTCCTGGTCTGTAAAACGGGGATAATGACGATACACCTTTCATTGGTCTTTTTTTTCTTCTAAAGATTGGCACCTGAGCTAACATCTGTTGCCAATCTTCTTTTTTCTTTTGTTTTATGGTAGTACGTTACGGACAGATATCTGTAAATTCTTTGTTTCAAAGAAGAGCTAGAGGCAGCTGTCCAAGAGGATAGTTTCTTTAACTGGGTACAGGGATAGAAATGAAAGTTGGGGGTTGCTTTACAGTTTCCTATAACAATTGTTAGGAAGACCGTTTCTTCCAGCAATTCTGTGCTCCTCAGAAGTGCCTCCCCCCCACCGTTTTTATGCTTTATATAATTTTTCATCCCTTCTATCATTATATTATTTCAATTTTATTAGACTACATGTAGTAAGAACCTGCCCATTTCTGAACGTTGAGAGGGAAATACCACAATTGATCATTTTTCAACAGTATGAAAAACACTGGCTTTTCTTAAGCTGCTCAGATGCAGCTGAGAAACTTACATTATAGATTTTTAGGAAACCTGTGAAAACAAAATCCCAGACTCCCAGGGTGAATCTATCATGGATGAGAACAAATACTACAGTGAACACAGAATAATTAAGTCATTTAAGCCAGTAGGTCAATTATTTTCTGTCCATGGTTCATATAAAAAAAAGTTACATGCCCCATAAGTGTTCCTTAGTGGCAAGTAAGAACAACAAAATGCTTTCTCAGCCCAGTAAGAAAATCCAGTAACGTACAAAAACGTATGAGCCCATGAAACGTCAGCTAGTCCCACAGTGCTACACAGGTAGCACCAACCCACAGGAAAAAATGTTTTAAAAGACCTTCTAGAAAATGGGGTTTTAAAGTTTAAAGCTTCTAAATTTAGTCACTTGTCTATCTGCTAGTTATCAGGAGTTTTCTGTATATCTGCAGTTGTGGCATTTGATGTTAAGATTCAGGATAGGCTAAAATATCTTTCATATCTGTTACCGAATTTTTCTAATTGCAGGAAATTGACTTTGTCACCAATCATCATTTTCCTTCTGTTAAATGCCTTAACATTTAAAATTTTACTTTAGACCTTACTGCAAAGATGAAACCTGATGAAACTCCTATGTTTGACCCAAGTTTACTCAAAGAAGTGGACTGGAGTCAGAATACAGCTACATTTTCTCCAGCCATTTCCCCAACGCATCCTGGAGAAGGTTTGGTTTTGAGGCCTCTTTGTACTGCAGACTTGAATAGAGGTATGGACTCAGTTTACAAATCCTGTTTAGAATTATAGTTAGCATTCTATTTTCTCCACAAACATTATGATGCTGATAATTTTAAAAGTAATATTTAACTTTTGGATTATTTTTTGTTAATTTTTAAAGTGACTGAGACAATTCCAATGCAGAATTAGCTAAGACCAGATATTACTCTGAAATATTTCAAATGACTTAAGTACTGCACTGCTCCTTCCTAATTAAGAAGCCACAAAAGACTTCTCATCAAGGTGAAATTATCATGTATAATGATACATAAGGAAGAAGCTTCTCTAAGAAGCTGGTTGTGGAATGAGGGTAGAAATAATTTGCCTTGGATAAGTTGCAAGAGGTTTTGTCTACACATATTTAACATCTAAATTCTCCAAACTGATTTCCTTAACTTTTGGTAGTCAAAAATCAACTTTTTACAGTTTTCTTTTTGGTAGAAAAAGAAGCTAAAAATAAACAGTTTTGGTAGAAAACTGAAGAAACTAATGTTGGTCAGATTATTGAGTGTGGAGAAGTAAAGATTCTCAAAGTTCTAAAAATGTACTGTTCACATTAAGATAATGAAATTAATCAGGAATCTTTAAAAGTTGTAGTCTCAAGAATGTTATTTATATTTTATTTTACAAATAGTATCATATTTGGTCATAGTGAGAATCTTGCACTTTTAAGTAACACCAAAGCACATCCTTGGGGAAATTTGGCATCCCTTGCATTGAATTTAATGCGAGTTACATGGGAAAACGTAAATGCTGGTTCTATAAATATTGAACATTAAGGTCAGATCTATTGTAAAAATCTTATGTAAGCAAAAACATTGGTAAAACTTATTGTTTTATGTATTGATTATATAAATAATGAATTTCAGTTTAATCTTTTAAATTAATTTAAAAATGATTCCTTAAAGTTTCAAAAAAAATAACTGCCCATAATCCCACATTGCTTCTTTTGATATATCTTTGATTTGCTCTTCTCATGACTTGAAATCTGTTTTTCAAAACTAGGTTTTTTTAAGGTACTGGGTCAGCTAACAGAGACTGGAGTTGTCAGCCCTGAACAATTTATGAGTAAGTACTACAGCCTCCTTTTCCTGAATGAAAAGCAATAAAGGGAAATGAGAGCTGAGAGAGTTTAGAGCTCTGTTCAGTGTCTGTTCAAATAGCTGGAAATTGTTCAAATAACAAATTAGCTGTTTTCTTATTTAAATGTTTAATGTGGCTAAACTATTCTAGAATCCAAATGTAGCAATACCATGTTTCGCAAAATACCTGACTACTTTTATTTTTTATTTTATTTTTTTTAAATCGTTATTTTTTTTTTTTTTTGAGGAAGATTAGCCCTGAGCTAAACTACTGCCAATCCTCCTCTTTTTGCTGAGGAAGACTGGCCCTGAGGTAACATCCATGCCCATCTTCCTCTACTTTATACATGGGATGCCTACCACAGCATGGCGTGCCAAGCAGTGCCATGTCTGCACCCAGGATCTGAACCAGCGAACCCCGGGCCGCCAAGAAGCTGATCATGCAAACTTATCGACTGCGCCACCAGGCTGGCCCCAGACTACTTTTAGATAATTAGTGTAGAACCTAGATGGTAGTACTAGAGATTGTTTTTTATTGCAGTACGTATTTCCTCTCATGTGGTTAGGTTATTCACAGAAATTTCATCACCAAATCAAAAATGTAAGAAAATATGTTCTACTTTTATATTTTGGTTCATTTATATTGAATTTTAAGGTTAGCAGGTATCTTATAGTTCACCCCCCCTTTTTTAATACATATATGAGAATGGAAATCCAGAGAGGTCAAATGACTTATCCAACATCATAGGTAGTTATTGGTAAGGAAAGGACTAGAACCTTCCTGACTCCTTCCTGTGCTCTTAACACTGTCTTTTCCTGTTTTCTATAATTTCTTCATTTCTTTCAATAGATAATTTTGTTTTGTACTCTTATCTCACCCTCCTGAGATGAAGATCATCATTTTCTGATTCTCATTGTTTTCCTTCATTGAATTTATTTCTTCTTCCCACTCCAGACCCCTATCCAGAATGAGATTGTGGAAATAAACAATATGTGAGACTACTAGGCTCAGTTTTTATTCCTGATTTCCAGTTTGCATGCATATCATATTAGATGAGAAACCATGTTATTTCAGCAAATGTAAAGGACTAAAAATCAATTTGGCGGGAAAGTATTTATTCTATTTTTGCTCCCATTTGCTATGCGCCTTTGGGAAAATTACTTGGAAATGGAGACATATTTTTCACCTACTTCACAAGGTGCTTTCACAGGAAACAAAAACAATAATTCTATTTCTAAAAAAGTAAGTCGTAATCATCAAACACTTGAGATCACAAGGGGAAAATTGAAAACTACTTTGTCAAAATATTTTGAAACTAAGACTAAAAATTACAGAATGGAACCACGTAAACATTCTTGTTAACATTTGCAGAGTTTTGTACTATTCAAGTTATCTGTTGAGTGTAGAAATTGATTTAAACTAACTAAAGTAATGAAGATATTAAACAGTTTTAATTCATTAACCACAGGAGTGGCAACATCTACAATTTATTTGTATTGTAAGTGCTGTTCATCTAAAACAGCTGTTAGTCTTACTTTGCTAGCATTTTTTTTCTTTTTGAGGAAGATTATCCCTGAGCTAACATCTGCCACCAATCCTCCTGTTTTTTGCTGAGGAAGACTGGCCCTGAGCTAATGTCCATGCCCATCTTCCTCTGCTTTATATGTGGGATGCCTAACACAACATGGCTTGACAAGCGGTGTCTAGGTCTACACCTGGGATCCAAACTGGCGAACCCCGGGCCACCAAAGCAGAACATGCAAACTTAACCGCTGTACCACCAGGCTGGCCCCAGACTTTTTAAACTTAGGCCCTATAGATTTAAATTGGACTACATTCCAGTTGATATTGACTGCTGATATTTGGACTACTTGGTCATTTTTAATCACTTTTTCTTTAGAAACAAAATGGAAATCACTATGGTGAAACAGCTTTAAATAATCAATAATGAACTCAGCTAATCCTAGTATTATCTGGCACCTAATAAAGTTTAATGTCTACCACATAACACTTTTCTAATTTCTACAGAATCTTTTGAGCACATGAAGAAATCTGGGGATTATTATGTTACAGTTGTGGAAGATGTGACTTTAGGACAGATTGTTGCTACAGCAACTTTGATAATCGAACATAAATTCATCCATTCTTGTGCTAAGGTATGTGTTCACATTAATGCTTATGAGCAAAATGGACAGATGTTTTCTAGCAAAGCCAACTTTGACTTTCCATTAGGCAAATCTGTTTGCTCATTGCTTTTCATTGTAAATGAGAGCTATATTGTCCTGAAAAAAGTTTTGCTTCTTAGAAATCACTTAGTAACAGGCATTTTCCCATTGTGTTCTGAGAGTTATGAGGAAAATATATTAACAATATGAATTGTTTGCTAAAAATTGTTCTGTAAAGTGTTAGATTTGGTATTCATAGCGAAACCAAGTCAGCATCATGAAATTTGCCAATAATGTTTCGAATCCTGAATGCTGTTTTTTTCAAAAACAATACTTTGAATATATGTACTTCATTAACAAATTCCCATCAGTTTTCAAGTGGTAAAGGGTTCAGAATACTGTATTCTGTCTTAACTGTGACACTTCTAATGCCTGTAGAGCTCCTTCACTCCTCATGACTCATGTGAAATAGTAAAGAAAACCTAGGTAATCCAATAAGAATAAGATAAGAACACTTGGAATGTATTTTGTAAGGTATGAATTTTGGTGGGGTTTCTGTACTAAAATTACTAAATTGAATTTGGATGTCTGACATAAATTGCTGTTTAAGCAAGGGATGTAGTAGGTTCATGACATGGTTGCATTTTGGTGATGTGGATTCTGAGATTTGCTTTAAAACAGTGGGGTGGGGAGGTTTAGGATATAGACAAAACAAGATTAGTCCACAAGTTGACTCATGATAGTATTTCCTCTATAATAATAAGTAAAAAAAATTTGCATTTTGCTTTTTGTGAAGTTCAAGTTTACAAAACATTTATTTTTGTCAATAAATTCTTAACCCATCACTTGTTGATTTAGCTAAAAACAAAACTATCTGCTGATTCCTTTAAACACTGTAAATATTTTCAGAGAGGAAGAGTAGAAGATGTTGTTGTTAGTGATGAATGCAGAGGAAAGCAGCTTGGCAAATTGTAAGTAGGCAGAAACAAGGTAACCTTAGATAAATTAGACACTCTCTGTGTTTGTTTAGTTTCTGGCCACGATATTTGTAAAAACTGTTTTCCTGTCTGAAGTTCTTTTAGCCGTCGTTAACTATGAACCCATGTCATTCTATAGGTTAGACTGAATTTAACGAAGAAATATTTTTTTAGTTTTATCACAAAGTTTGGAAATTGTTAAGTGTACTGTTTTACACACAATAACATTTTTAAGTTATTAACTCTTGGTAGTAGTATTCTCATACCAGTAGGAAACAAACTTTTGGCCGAGTCATTTGCCCCAGTTTGTGTGTCATATTTAAAAACAATGGAAATGTTCTTAGTCTCCTAAGTTTTAGAAACACATACAGAAATAGCCTTCACTATATAATTCATCCTCTGTACATTTATCTAAATCTTTTAAAATAAATGTAAATAAGTTTCATAGATTTATTGCCTATTTTATAAGATATAACTTGCTTTTTAATATTATCTCTTCTGAGTTTTAAGGAATTCACTGAGTATCTGCCAGATATGTGCCAGATACTCTTCGAGGTATTTGGGATACATCAGTGATCAAAACAGATACATTTCTGGTATTCTAGTCCACTTAACTTAGTCATACCTTTTATAGTTTTATAACTTCAATCAAGTTCTGTCTTGAAATGATGATTTTTCAGTTTATGCAAAAATGAGAAAACCCTTGAGGTAAATTTTTGTAGCTCTTTTCTAGTTTTTTTCCCCCCAAGGCAGTCAGAATCACATTCTTATTCTGGGGTTGGATTCTTTAAGGATTGTAAAGATGTATACATTTTTGCTTCATTTCCACTTTTAAGATCAATCTGGAGTTGATCTGATATATACTTTCACAAATATTAAAGTAGCTTTAAAAATGATAAAGAACAAAGCTATTATTTACCCATTTTACATGGGACTGTTAACTGTTCCTAAGTAGTTTGAATAGATTTAGGAAAAAAATACTTTTTTTTGAGGAAGATTAGCCCTTAGCCAACATCTGCCACCAATCCTCCTTTTTTTGCTGAGGAAGACTGGCCCTGAGCTAACATCCATGCCCATCTTCCTCTACTTTATATGTGGGATGCCTGCCATACCTTGGCTTGCCAAGTGGTGCATAGGTCCACACCCAGGATCTGAACTGGTGAAGCCCAGGCCACCAAAGTGGAACGTGTGAACTTAAAGACCTAAAAAGACTTTTTTAAAGAACAATTTCGGCCATATTTTTTAAAAGGTTGATAGTCTTTAGTGTTAACATTAATCTTAAAACTTTTTAAAGATGGTTTAGGGTGAGTTTAGTATTATTCCTGTTTATTAACGGGCTGGAGATTACTAGATAAAGTAGATTTGAAACTAAATAAAATGCTTTGGGTGATTTAAATGCGTATCCACATAACAATTTGAATAAATGAATATAATGGGAAAGAGCATGATCTAAACCTTTCTCTAATGTAAACTTCAAATTTTATTTTATATAATATTCATTTATATTAATTACTAAAATCCACTTTTATTAACACTATGCCTCCCCCCTCCTTTTTTTTTTTTAAATTTCAGGTTACTATCAACCCTTACTTTGCTAAGCAAGAAACTGAACTGTTATAAGATTACCCTTGAATGTCTACCACAAAACGTTGGTTTCTATAAAAAGTTTGGATATACAGTATCTGAAGAAAACTACATGTGTCGGAGGTTTCTAAAGTAAAAATCTTAAAGACATTGTCAAAGGAGCTAATGCAGCAAGGCTGTACTCTTCTAGAGTTAAAATATTTTGTTGCTACAACCCAGTGACCTCCATAAATACTGGATTGAAAAAACATTGGAATACAAGTATAATGACATTTAGAAGATTACTGTGGGCTGGTGGGGGCTGCTGTGAGTTTAGATTACAAATGGATATTATAAAAGGGATGATTTTTAACCAAAGGAATATATTTTTAACTTGAATCTTTTCTTGCATTGTATTTTTCTAAAGTTTGGCTTCATTTCTTGGTGGTCAAGAGTATATGTACTAAGGAGTTATAATGTCTGCCAGCTGTACTGCTCATTAAAAAAACATACAATGAATAAGGCTGTTTCCTTATCACATTCATAAAATTAGTATTTTTGTTTCAAAGAAACATAGCTAAATACCACTTAAGGCTGTATCATTTTCCAGATACTATGTGAAATTGGATGTTAGTTTTTGTTTTGTTTTGTTGTGAGGAAGATTGGCACTGAGCTAACATCTGTTGCTAGTCTTCCTCTTTCTGCTTGAGGAAGATTGTTGCTGAGCCAGTGTCTGTGCCAATCTTCCTCTATTTTATGTGGGATGCTGCCACAGCATGGCTTGACGAGCTGTGGTAGGTCCGTACCCAGGATCCAAACCTGCGAACCCCACGCCACCAAAGCAGAGTGCACGAACTTAACCACTATGCCACCAGGCCAGCCCATAAATTAGATTTATTTTAACTAAATGTATTGCAGTCTAACATTTGTTAATCCTAATACTGTATAGGCAGACAACCTGGTCAACCTTTTAAAGAAGTAGAAATGAAAATTAACTTATAAAATGTGACAAGATTCAAAGAAAAACAATTTAAATGTACATCTAAAGTTTATATAATTCTAATGTAAAGTACCACCTGTCTTATATGTGAGATAAAATTATTCATTTGTTTAAAATACCTAAGAGCAAATATAAGGTACCTTTTTTAGTGAATTAGCAAATCTGGGCATATTATGTATTTCTAACCTGATTTCTCATCTTTTCATGAGTATCTGAAGTTTCTCTTCTTAGTAAGATTTTTATGAGAAATAGATTACAAAGTTGAGTGTATTATTTAAAAATGTATCATACTGTATTTGTTACATTCTTAAAATGTTGATGGAAGCTTTTCTATTTAATGTGATTATAATAATACTCTTATTCTGGTCACTATCCTGTTTTGATTTTATTTTAATTATTTTTTTAAGTTGAAGTAAGAATTAGATACTTTATTAATGGTTCTAATCTTTGCATTCCATGTTACGTGAATAGTCTTTGTTAGAATCCTAACGTTATCTGTACTTTTCTTGAGTCTTCTATTGAACTCTCTTATTAGGTCAAATCACAGTTCATAACATTTACTCTTTGTAAAATGAACTTAGAAAGTAAAACCACCTGTTTCTCAACCCTTTGACTCACACCTGCCTCAAGTGGATTTTGGATTTCCCTCCATGCGGTAAGCTAGTTGACTTTCTAAAACAATAAAACCCTTCACCACTAGAGGGTGCACTACTTATCTGCTGATGATCCATGCAGATGAACTGAGCTGTCTCTAGTGAAAGCAATGGAGCTAGCTAGTTTTGCCTTTTCAGGAGTCCTACAACCTTGACACAACAGCAGCTTTATTTAGGTACATTCTGGTAATTAAAAACCCATGTTAAAAAATAAGCCTAATAAAAGGCAAAATAAATAAATGCTTTATTACATCTCTTACCTCTGAACAACTTAAAGTAAAACTATCTACAAGATTGGTATTGCAATAAATCTCTTTAAATAGTGTTCTTAAGGTCTTATCTTAAACCCCTCCTATAGGAAATACAGTAATAGGTAAGGTATAATATGTAAAAATTGGGTCATCCAGGAAAATGGATATGTTTATGATTTTCAACACCATGTATTCTGAGTAAACTTGAGTACGAAAAAAAGGTGCATAAGACATTTCATAATATATGACCTATATTCACATTTTTGAGCATTGTTTGCTTTTGAAAGGTACAATGAAGTGGCAGTTGTGACTTTTATTTTGCTCATATATTTTGTATATTTGTATTTCATTGACTCTAAGATGCATTTTTTTACACTAACATTTTTTAAATCTGCATGCATTTATGATCAATGACTTGTCAGAATTCGTTCAGCAATATTTTGCCTTTTAGTGGTATCTAAAAGAATGGTGTAGTGATGGCATCTTAGCTTTGATGAAGAATAGTATGTAGACAGGCTAACGGGCAAGAGGGTACTGTAAAAGCATGAAGTGTTTTTCTTAATGGGCTGCAAGCTGTTCCATGGATGACCTACCTTTCCTTCAGACACGAATTCCCTCACTTCCAACTCCAAACTCACTCAACTAATCCTTAAAGATATACTTGAGCTGAAACTTGGGCCTTGTATGGACCACTGACCGTAATTTTTGTGTATGACTACAATCTTTGGGAAGATATTCTTAAGTGCTTCTCAATATCCAATGTTCATTCATCCTTCTTAATCTGTGGGAGTAAAAACTGAGTTACTTTTACCTAGAAGACAACAATCTAAGTAAAGAAGTCCTGAGGCATAAGCAATATAAATGAACTCTTCAATCTTTTCGAGGTATAATGGCACAACAGTTTTAATACAACCACCAATCTTCACAAAATAATTTTAATACTTTGTGCCTGGGCTAGCAGCATTTGCTCTGTGACATTGCTATACATACATAAGCATTTTATCCAAGTACAAATGTTAACAGCAGAGTAACTAAAGCAACTGCCTATACAAAGGTAAGTAGACACTGTAGGTTATTTTTCTTCTTGAATCATTTTTGCTGCATAGTAAACTGCAATTACATGTCAGTATAATGTTACTGATCTATAAAATACACTTTTAACTGTGAGGTATGGCAACTCCCTATGAGAGAGTAACATGTAAACCTGAATATTTTGAGTGATATTTTTTTTTAGCTGCCATGGATGGGTAAGACAAAAAAATCCAGCATTCAGAAACCCTAGAAACTTATTTTTCTAATCAATTAAAAAAATAAAATCTTTTAGCAATTCTCAGCTATTTCCTTCTCATTTCCTTATCGGAGCATTGTTGAATGGACAAACGTAAAGTAAGTAGTGAAGTGAAGCCAAGTTTGTTATGGAATTATGGATTAAACCAGTTATTTAAAAAAGAAAAAAACCCGCCAGGTAACTGCTCATTTACTTTACATCAAGTTGAGATCCTGATATATATATATATATCCCAACTTTATAATTCAAGATTGCAGTTAAATACTTCTAATTCACTTGAATTACCATAATAAGAAGACAATTAGAAACCTTATATTTTCTTAAAAAGGACATGCTTAACATTTTCTGACATTACTTCTAAACTCAGATTAAAGCACAAAATCCCCCCTAAACAAATATTCTGCTCTAAAAGTTAAGTGGTTGAGAGCTGGTGGCAAAAGCTGCCATGGTTTAACATTTCCACCTTGAGAGACAAATAAAGAAACTGCTATCTAAATATGAGAGAAGAAATTAACATGAACCAAGTAAATGAAATGAGAAAGTAAGAATACTGCCATTCCAGTCTGAGTATTTTCAGTATTTAAGTTTCTTTCAAAGTGGACAGTAAAGCAGTTTTCCTGTTTTGATGCCATTTCACTTTAAATTCTGTGCCCAGGTTGCGTATTTAATGAGTGCTATGTCACTCATACATTATTCAAATATTCTAGAAAATAAGTCATGATTGGTTAAATGTATTGTAGTTATCAAAACATCAGCAGAAATAACAGAAATGGAACCAAATGGAAGAAACAATAGGAAGAGCTACCAGAAGAACCAGTTGAACATTAGGTAGAATGGATCCAAGATAAAACAAACTTGCAATGTTCTTATTTGAAAGAAAGAATAAACCTCATGTTTTGCCTACATTAACATTGTACCAAGATGACAGTCCCTCTTTCTAGTGTTTGTGAGAGTATTATACAGTGCTGGGCAGGCACTTTAGTGACAACATAAAAGTTACAGTGGTTAGAAAAAGTGGAAAATTACCAGCTATAAATTAATTAATAACCAAGTCTGTATTTTTGGCCAGACTACTAGAGAGGATATATGTATTTAAGAAACTAATTTAAAAAATCTTACCCTTATTTTTAAAACCTAAATGTACTACGACGAAGATGCTTTTAAGCAAGAGTTTCAGCTGAATGAAGGATCATAGATTTAGATTATCAGATTGCAGGGGATCCTTGCTGACCTATCCAATAGTGACTTATATACAGGAAAGCTGTGTTATCTGGCACTTTACCAACTGGAATTTCTGAACACTCAATGCAAATCTTGACTCTACTAGACCACCACACCAAATGACCTAATAAGACAACAGAATACGAGACCACAATGGGATTAACAATATGCTGTTTTCAGGGCGGTAAAACGGCAAGAGAAGGGAAATCAGAAGAGGAATACCACCTAGATCAACAGGAATTAGCTCAATTAAAGCAATTTTAACTCATCTCCACTCAACCACTATGCTGGATAAAAAAGCTTCTACTGTATTATTACATTTTAGGGAGGAAAACAAAGCAAGTAACTTGGTGTAATAGGTTACCTTGCATAGTACCTCTTGGTACCAAGGGAACGTATGGAAATCATTCCCATCAGTAAAGCACCTCAAGAGAGGACTGAGAAAAGTGAGATACAAAGGAGTTTTGTTTGTGCTAACCTAAATCAACTATAAAAAGTTAAAAACACTCCTCCTCCTTCACATCATACTTACTTAAAACAGCAAAACTTTTTCTTAAAACAATTGTTATATGTGTAAATAAAAATTATGGAGAACTAAGGATCCATAAAGTGACTCCGCTAATGCAAATTATGGGGGAAATTTGGATTAACTCAATGTAAAGAACTGATTAAAGCACTAATTTAAAGTACACTAATGTCTCCCACAAATCACATTCCCCAATAAATGCATCTTCAAAGAAAAGCTTCTGAGCCAGAACAATCTCACAGAATCATTAAGACAACATAAAATGAAGGAATAAATGTTCCATATTCCAAATAATTTACCGAGGTTTCTTCAAGCCTCAGACTTTCAGTTTAAACTAATTTATGACTTAAAAAAAAAGAAATCACAGAAAAATGTTAACTTTTCACTGGTCTACATATTAATTTAGTATGAGAATTTATTTTTTATTTTATTTTTTTTAATGATGCAAGGCACTTTCTTATCTGGGCTTCATTTAGGAAAAAAAATAGTGCTACATTGGTTTATTATATTCTATTTAGAACCATTTTGGACAAAGAAAAATATGGGCTAAGCAACTCTAAAAAGAACAAACAACATTTGG